TGAATTATTTTATTTCTTAAAGTAACAACACGGAACCTTTTCATCTCATCATCCATGGCTTGCTCCCACTTGATCGAATCCTCCACCTGTAGGGCCTCATCAAAAGACTCTGGTTCCCCCTCATCAGTCAACAATAGATAGTGTAATGAAGGTGAATACCTATCTGGTGCCTTGATGGTTCTGGATTATCTCCTTAACACCTGCTCAGGTGTAACTTGCTCAACTTTAGATTCTTCAGTAAGAGTAGGTTGAGTAGCTGCTTCGACATCTCTGGGGTTACTCTTCTCCAACTCATCCTCAACTCCCACTTGCTTTATTATCTCTAGAACCTTCTGCAATCTGTCCTTGTACAAGACAGACTCAACAAATGTCAAGTCACAATGTCTTAGGATCTTTCTGTTCTTGTCATCCCAAAACCTGTACCAAACAAATCAGAACCATAGCCTATGAAGTAATACTTCATAGCCTTCGCATCAATCTTGTCTCTCTTCTCTGGATCAACATGAACATAAGCAATGCAACCAAAAGTCCTCAAGTGTGAGTACTTGAGTTATTTTCATGTCCACATATCCTCTCGAATCTTGAACCCTAAAGAAACTTATGGTCCCGTATAAATCAAGTATGCAGCTGAGCTCACAGCATCCAAAATATTTTGGGCAGCCCACAATGTATCCTCATAGTCCTTGCACGCTCATTAAAAGTTCTGTTTATCCTCTCAGCAATTCCATTCTGCCTTGCCTTACCAGGAACTTTTCTCATCAATCTTATTCCCCCAGCTGCACAGAATGCCTTGAACTCTGATTTGTCATATGCTCCTTCATTGTTAAACCTTAAGCATTTGACTTTCAAACCGGTCTGATTCTCAACTTTAGATTTCCATTTCTTGAATGTTGCAAACACATCTAACTTATGCTTCAAGAAGTAAACCCATACCTTCCTGCTGAAATCATCAATGAAGGTAACATAGAATTTGGAGTCTCCAACTGATGATACTAGAGATGGTCCCCAAACATCTGTATGGACCATTTCCAACCGCACTTTCTTTGGCTCTCTAAAAGTCTTTGTGAATCTTACTCTTTTCTGTTTTCCCATAACACAACTCTCGCAAAGAGCCATATCAAAAGACTTCAGACCCTCTAATGCTCCTTTTGCAACCAGCATCTTCATTCCTTTAGCACTCATGTGTCCAAGTCTGTCGTGACACAGACATGAACCGGAATCACCTTCAGCAACATCGGCCATGTTAATACACCCTGTAGTGGTGTACAAGGTTCCATATTGGTGCCACGACCTATTACCATAGCACCTTTCACAATCTTCCACGAACCTTTCCCAAACTCTGTTGCCATTATTCAATCGGGTTGTTTACACTAAGGATTAGAGCATCGACAATGTCCTCTAATGAATTTACGGAGTCATTGTCATCTCCATATTTCTAATTTTGTTTCTTCTTTGGCTTTGTACAGTTCATCCAAAAGTGCCCTTTTTCTCCACAGTTCCAACAATTCACGTTTGATATGTTCGGAGATTTTACTTGATTTTTTTATTTTGATCGACCATGTTGATTTTTGCCTTTCGTCTTACTTCTTCCCCTTCATTCAACACTGAGAGCACTGGCTGATGAATCTCCCACTTCTTATTTGCGAATACTTTCGCTAAGAACAACATCACAAATTTCATCAAACTTCGTTTTCTCAGATCCACGGGAACTACTAATCGTAGCAACAATGGTATCACAAGACTCGGGCAGAGATGATATCAAAATGAACACCTTTATTTCATCTTCGAAATTAATATCCACAGAATTGAGTTGACTCACAATCATATTGACCTTGTTTATATGATCAGAAACAGATCCATTCTCAGACATCTGTAAGTTGAATGATCTACGCATCAAATATACCTTGTTCATCGCAGATGGTTTTTCATACATATTTGACAGATCCTTCAATAGATCCGACGTAGTCTTCTCCTTCACGATGTTGAACGCCATGTTTCTTGACAAAGTCAACCGGATAAACTCTAGAGTCTGGCGATCCTTGACCTACCACTTCTTCTCCGTCATGGATTCCGACTTCACCCCGGTCAACGGTTCGTGAAGATCTTTCTGGTACAGATAATCTTCGATTTGTTATTTTCAGAAACTGAAATCGGATCCATCACACTTCTCGATTCAAAGCTTTGAACTATCCATCTTGATTGATCGTGTTGAATGTCCTTAGATTTGATAATAGTTGTTAGGATCAAATTCACGTAAACACACTTGATGAATGAAGATCACAAGAACTTTCAAGAGAAAGAGATGAAAGATCTGAAGAGAGAAAGAGAATAAATAAGGCTCAACAAACTAACAATTCTTCAACTTGGAGACTTATTCAGTCATGCAAAAAATAAATTCTCAAAAAAAATATCTCTTCATCATCAACATCTTGACTGCACCATAACATCTGTCATAACAACTACAGAAGAACAACCGAGGTTTTGCATAACCCTAGTTTCCCAACATTAACACATTTCGTCAACATGTCTGCCAGAATCTTCGCACCCTCTATCAGAAAAAACATAAATAATAGTAAAAAAGAAGAATGTTATTTAAGATGTCATACTAAATATAACCTTGCCTAGACTATTATTTGCCATGAACTCATAGACTAGGAATTTTTCTACTCCATTTATGCAGTATCCCTACATATTGGTTAAGTTACGATGTTATACATTTGGTATTAATTTGAATTCGTTATTGGACTCTGTATGTCCATGGCGTGAAGTCACGTCTTGATTCTTACCTGTTATTTCTACTCCATTCTCTAATACACCCTACAAATTATGTATCATTTGGGTATTAATTTTGTTGTCTTAGTTATAGTAGATATGCATTTTCACGCTTTGTTGAAAAGAAATTATAATCTTATAAACATTGCTAAAGTCATCATGCCTCTATCTTTTCAGCCATACACATTTTCTTATAAGATAGGGCATGATGGTCTAGCAATGTTTGTAAGGTTATTTTTTCCTTTCAACGAGCCTGAAAATGCATATTTACAGTAACTCAGACAAGATAATAATATCCAAATGAAATATATTATTTGTAGGGCGTACTAGAGAATGGAGCAGAAATAGCAGTGAAGAAGAAAGACACGACTTCATGCCAAGAATTTAATAAGTTCGAGAATGAAGTCAAATTAATAGCAAAGCTACAACATCGTAACCTAATCAAGTTGTTGGGATACTGCATTAATGGGGTACACGAAATCCTAGTCTATGAGTTCAGGTACAATAATAGCTTACAAAAGGTCATATTTGGTACGAAATCTTATATAACATTCTTTCTTTTTACTATTGTGCGCGTTGTTTTGATATTAAAAAGAATGAAATTTGGGAGGTTTCAACTTAAATTGAGTAACTTTTTTTGTACTTGTCCAGATCCTACCAGAACGGGTAAAGTAACATGGCCAATACATAATGTAAAAATAAGAATTGGCTGCAATTTTTCAGCAATGCAGAAATTTGAAACAAGAGCTAGTTTAAAAAACTGAGCAATTGACTGCAATATTGTAGTAGTGCATAAATTTAATTCAGCTTTGCAGAAAATAAAAAACAGAGCCAGCAAAAAAAAATTTGTATGGTTTTACAGTCGTGGAACCTTAGCTTGTCTCCTCGTCTAACCAATTTAATATGGACAAGGCGTCATTTCTAAGCATTAAGAAATAACCGACTCGAATGAACAAGATGAGAACAAGATTCATTTTTGATATTGTATCTTATTCTACTACACTATTAACACTATAGGGAACATGTTAGTCATTCCATTTTTCTTGAAGATTACTTCTGTAATTGGGAATATTACTTGTATGTGTAACACTTCGTAATTATTCCTTTTGATATAACCATGGAAAATGTTTGTGCGAGCCATTATTAAAATCATAATCAAAAAGATGGTGAGGCAGTAGAAGAATGTGACAGTGCAAGATGAAGTAGAGCAGCTAATGAAAGATTTGTATCCAAATCTTGACGGAGGAATTACACATACTTATTGTGATAACCTACTTGAGGAGGAACAAAATGTTGAATTTTTTTTACAGCCTATCGAAGGATTTCTAGTTGACATTATTCCATAATTCAAAATCTTCAAAGCTTTCCTCTTCGATAAAATTGCTTCATATTAAAAGTATGGGTCGTTGGAGTAATGCATCATTTACAATGCTATTGAAACTGTTAAAAGAGGAGTTGTTGCCTAATGTGAAAAATTTTCTGAAATCATATTATGAGTCAAAGAAAATAATTCAAGAACTCGGGATTTCATACAACAAGATTGTTGTGTGTACTAATGAATGACTGTTATACTGAAAGGAGGATAGCATACTCGATTCTTGTAATGTTTGAGAAGCGTTCAGATGGAAATAAATACACATTGTGAATAAACAAGGAATAAAAAGGTTAAAAATAACATCAAAGAGTTTATAAAATTTTTCTTTAAAGCCTACACTTCATAAATTGTTTATGTCTACAAAGGCATATACTCTAATGATATGGCATAAGGATAATAGATTAATGATTGAATAATCAGGCAGCCGACTAATTTAATGGCATGGAAGTCATTTTAGTAACATCATCCTTTTTTTGCAGTTGAGTCCTTAAATGTTCCAGTCAAACTTGATGGTGATTAATTTCAACCATTTTGGAATGCAAAAGCCTCATACAAAATTTTGAATATGGTTCTTATTCCTTATAATTTACCATCTTGGTTGTGTATAAAGAAAAAAAATTTATTTTGTCAATGCTTATTTCATGTCAAAATGGTCCACAAGTTTCAATTGATACATATCTTGAACCTTTAATAGAGGAATTGAAGGAGTTTTGGAAAGTTGGTGTTGAGACCTATGATGCATCAACTAAATAATTTTTAAGTTGCATGCTTCTCTATTATGGAACATCAATGACTTCCCAACGTATGTAAATTTATCACGCTGGAGTACAAAAGGAAAATTGGCATGACCATGTTGCCGTAAAGGAACTGTCTTAATTCAATAGGCTAATTGTAAGAAACAGTGTTTTACAGGTTATCGGCGTTATCTTTCTCAGAATCACAACTTTAGAAGTGAGAAGGACTCATTTGATGGTACAATAGAGAAAATGTCCCCACCAAAAGTGAGTTCTTTATAGAGATACTTAATCAAGTGCAAGATCTTGAAGAATTACATTTATCAATGGATCCTAAGATAAGAAAGAAGAAATCACATGAAATTGAATGGATAATTGGAATAAAAAACTATCTCTTTTGAACTTCCATATTGGAAGTGTCTCTTGTTGCTACATAATTTGGATGTTATGTATATTGAAAAAATATACGTGATAATATCATGGGGACATATATGAATGTCAAAAAAAGACCAAGGACACAATTAAAACTCTATTAGACTTGCAAGAGATGAACATTAGGTCGTAATTGCACCCCATCCAAAGGGGGAGAAATTTGACTTTCCAAAAGCAGGCTACACATATTCTCATAAAAGATAAGCACAAATTTGTGACTATTCTTAAAGAATCTAAATTTTTTTGATGATTTCCATCTAATATTTCTCAGTATGTGAATTAAATGATCACAAGATACCTGGATTGAAAAGTCATGATTATCATATTATGTTGCAACATCTACTCCATCTTGCACTTCGTCGTTTGTTGTCTAAAGAAGTGTGTGAGCCGCTGATTGAATTATTAATATTTTTAGTTTTCTTGAATCAAAAGAGTTGAGAATTGAAATCTTGGAACCTATTTAAGAATAAATACCCAAAACATTTTGCTAGTTAGAAAAAGTCACACCTCCTTCTTTTTTTGATTTCATGGTGAACTTACCTGTTTATTTAGCTACTGAAGCTTAAATTTTTGGACCCAATCATTATCAGTGGATGTATTTTATTGAACGATGGCTGCATAAATTTTTTGTAAAAACATTTTGCACTGTTGCAACATTGCAGCCAGTTGCTCGTTTTTTATGCTCTGTTTTTGTAACTTCTTCACTGTTCAAAAATTATAGCCAGCTGCTCATTGTCCATGTTACTATACTGCTTGTTGGAGGATTTATACATGTAGAGAATACAGTTGCTAAATTTCACTTGAATACTCTAATTTCTATTTTTTGTGGCTTTTCAATATCAAAAACAACACCGACAATAGTAAATAGAAGAATGTTATTTAAGATATCATACTAAATATGACCTTGCCTAGGCTATTATTCGTCATGAACTCATAGACTAGGAATTTTTCTACTCCATTAATGTTGTATCCCAACAACTTGGTTAGGTTACGATGTTGTACATTTGCTATTAATTTGACTTCATTCTCGAACTCTGTATATCCTTGGGTGAAGTCACGTCTTGCTTCTTCCCTGTTATTTCTACTCCCCATTCTCTAATACACCCTACATATATTATATATCATTCGGGTATTAATTTTGCCATCTTAGTTATTGTAAATAAGCATTTTCATGCTTGTTGAAAAGAAATCATAACATTATAAACATTGCCAAAGCCATCTTGCCCTATCTTATTTGTAGTTCACCTTTTTTTTATAAGATAGGGCATGATGGATTTGACAATGTTTATAAGGTTATTATTTCTTTTAAACAAGCATGAAAATGCATATTTACAGTAACTCAGACACAATAATTAATAGCAAACTTGTACATAATATTTGTAGAGTGTACTAGAGAATATAGTAGAAATAGCAGTGAAGAAGCAAGACATGACTTCACGCCAAAAATTTACTAAATTCAACAATGAAGTCAAGTTAATAGAAAAGCAACTACATTGTTACCTAATCAATTTATTTGGATATTGATTTAATGTAGCGGAAAATTTATGGTATATGAGCTCATGTTGAATAAAAGCCTAGACAAGGTAATATTTGGTATGAAATCTTAAATAACATTCTTCCTGTTTACTATGGTTTGCATTATTTGATATCGAAAAGAAAAAAAATTAGGAGTATTCGACTGATATTAACTATTTTTTTTAGATGTCTAGATCATACAACAAGGAGTGCACTAATATTGCCAATAAATATTAGAGTTGGAAACTAATGGTAAACTATTCAGTGAAGCTTCAAGACTGATGGAACACGTCGAAGTTACTGGTCCATCGAACCAGGCTGACGAGTTAGTGTTAGAATGATACTAGGACTAGACTACAAAACACTGTTTTATGTACGACTAAGCTACTAACCATTATTGGAGTCGAGTAAGTTAGGGTATTTGACTTGTAATAAAATACTACCCATGTAAATATTTGTGCTGTAGTAGGATTCCTAGTATAACTAGAATATAACTCTGGTCCTATATAACTTCGGTCCAAAAACCTACCCTTGTGTGTTCATAGGGTACAACAACTTACACAAAGGATATATAGGCTATGATCCCTGTACAATGAGGGTTTACATATCAATACATGTTGTGTTTGATGAAAACACATTACCCTATGTGTCTCTAAAGCAATCTCAAACTAATATTGATGTCTCACCTCACCTTGCTACTTTTGTTGAATCTTTCTTTAAACTGCTAGCACATGATAATTTTGATTCAAACGAAGTACATGTTTCTAGACCACACATTAATAGTGATAATGTTTCGACACCTCATGTACTCATTGATGATGAGAAGTATTATTAACCTCTCAGGTGCAGGATCAGATTCTAAGGAACAAGTTGAAGCTGGTGACCCATATAGTAGTGTTGAAACTCCAATTACAGATTTTGAATCTCTCAGGAGCAGTGAGGAACGAGTTTCTCTTCCAATTCAAAACAGTGATCATCATCAAAGAACAACTTTAGGTTATGTACCGATTTACAATCAACCTGACAATGATACACTCCAGTCAACTGTATTGGTTGATGTACCGGCTGAGGTACTTCCTGAACCACAAGGGCATCATATGATCACCAGGCAGAAGGAGAAGGAACATCACCTGTCAATTGTTGCTCGCAGTAGAACAAAAATTGTGGGAGAACCAAATACTACTAAGGAAGCACTAAAATAACCTCAATGGCTTGAAGCAATGCACGAAGATATTAATGCTTTACATACTAACAAAATATCGATTTTGGTGCCCGAATCTCCTGATATAAACTTGGTTGGGTAAAATGGGTGTTTAGACAAAATTAAAAATTTTGATGGGACATTAGATAGATACAAGGCCAGACATATGGCTAGGGGATTCTCGCAATTTGAATTGACAGATTTTGAAGAAACATTTATTCTTGTAGTTAATGCTACAAATGTTAGGGTGGTTCTACCCGTTGCTGTCAGTTCAAATTGGGAAGTTAGACAATTAGATGTCAAAAAATGTCTTTCTCCATGGTTTCTTACAAGAGGATGTGTACATGAGTTAACCTCTTGGTTTTATTGATCACAGTATCATCGGCATGTATGTCTACATAAAAAGGCATCGTATGGTCTTAAACATGCACCAAGTTCTTGGTTTGATATGTTTCGTATGCATCTCTTACACCTTGGTTTCATTTGTAATAAGGCTGACCCTTCCTTATTTACTTTGCAAACTCACAAAGGCAAAATATTTTCTTGTTATATGTAGATAATATTATTGTCAAAGGAAGTAATCCACCTCATGTCTCAGAGTTGGTTCTACAACTTGGGAAGGAGTTTGGTATGAAAGATCTTGGCCCATTACGTTACTTCCTAAGAATTGAGGTGAAGTATTTCGCAGGTTGAATTAACTTAAATCAAATCAAGTATGTTATTGAGTTGTAGTCCATGACAGAGATGACTTTGGCAAATGTTGTAGCCACTTCTTTGGGTAAAAACATGGTTTGGATGAAGTTGTGGGAAGTCATGTAGATGCATTCTTTTAGAGAATGATAGTTGTGAGACTTCAATACTTGATCCTTACAAGACTTGATATCACTCATGATGTGAATTTAGAAGGCTAGTTTATACAAAGCCCAAACATTCAACATCTTCAAGGGGTAAAAAGGATTCTCAGGTACATCAAAGGAACTATACACCTTAGACTCAGAATTATTTCACAATCACCATGTAGGTTGTATGGCTACTCTGATGCTGATTTGGGAGGTTGTACAACAACTAGGAGATCAACTATAGGCTATAGCATCAACGTAGGTGCAAATTGTATTTTTTCGACCTTTAAGAAACAGAACACAATAGGCCGATCTAGTACTGAAACAGAGCATAGAGAGCTAGCCTCCACTGCTGCATAAATGAATTTGATTTTGTATCTTTTTTTATGACCTTGGAATGTTATTTTGATCTGTTCCTACAATGTATTGTGATACTATAAGTGTCTTGTACAAGATAATTATCCAGTTATGTATGCTAGAACAAAACATGTTTAAATGGACTGTCATTTTGTTCATGAGAAAGTGGCCAGGGGATGACTTCTTACTCAGTTTGTGAAGTGTAAGGATCAAAAGCTGATATTAACACCAAAGCCTTAACACAATAGGTTTTCTCTTATTTTGTAGCTAGTTAGGAGTTAGAGTTCCTCCATTCACTAGCTTGAGGGGATGTGTTGAAGGAAACTTGGCGACTGATGGAACACGTCGAAGGAACAGATCCACCAAAGCAGGCTTACGAGTTAGAGTTAATTCATATTAGGACTAGACAACTAAATTCTATGTAATGTATGACTAAGCTACTGAATATTATTGGAGTCGACTTGGATAACTTATTTGACTTGTAATAAAATACTACCGATGTAATTATTTCAGTTGTATTAGGATTCCTAGTATAACTACAATAGGACTCTTCTCCTATATAAGGAGCTTGTAACTGAACATTATAGTTGTCAATACATCTTTGATTTTTCCATGCTTTCGTTAGGTTTCTACTAAACTGAGCAGTTGGCTGCAATTTTTCAGCACTGCAATTTTTCCATGCTTTCGTTTGATTTCTACTAAACAAATGTTGTAGCAGTGCCAAAAATTTAAAATTGAGCTAGCATAAAAAAATTGAGCATCTGCTTGCAAGTTTTGCGCAGTATAGAAATTTTAAAAATAAAATTTATACAGCTTAAAATTTAAAAACAGAGCCATCATAAAAAAATTATGGTTGCAAAAATTTTCTACAGTCGCCTTACCTTACCTCGTCTCCTCGCCAAACTATTCTTTGAACATTCACTAATTTTGCATGCAACGATAGACAACATTTCTCAATCAACTCAAGTTCCTATAAAAATATAAATGAATTTCGCTTGTCTTCACAAAATATCACTTTCAATATGAAAACTCTTAATACAAAAATGACTCCCAATTATTGAAAATATGGTAGCAAATAAAATGTTGTCTTCCATGTTGTTGTCAAACCGAAATAGACTGCAACTATTATAGAGTGACATGCCAATGCTGACAAAAATATGCAAGCCAAGACAACAGGGCCATTGAATGTGATATATATATATGTATATATATATATATATATACACATACATATATATATATATATATATATATATATATATATATATATATATATACACACACACATACATATATATAAAGCGTCAATTGTAAGCAATAAGAAGTCACCGACTCTAACGAAAAAGAAGAGAACAAGATTAATTTTCGATCTTTCTTAAAGTTTACTTCTGTCACTGGGAATATTTCTTTTTCACATCAAAAGACCCATTTTTTGTTATTTAATTATACATTCATTACGTTGTTATGTTTCAATAAAATAAATTAAAAAGTTAGATATATTGTTACTAACCCGGTCAATTTAAAAGACTGTGGTCATTTAGTTGAGGAAGACGATGTTGTAGGTGGGACATATGATTGTTGAGCAGTGAAGAATTCTTTCATTTTCATTATTTCTTTCATTGCCTCTTCTATTGTAGCAAGCGATCATTTAAGGAGTTGTTTTCTTTGTTCAAGGATTTGATATCCTCTGGAGTTGAATGTAGTACATACAATGATTAAGACTTTGATGAAGTTCCACCTTTCAAATCTTTTGCCTTTACTCCACCCCCAACTCCAAATACATGGCTACGAGTTTAAGGTCCACAAAAATTTTCAACAAGCTCTACCGTAGATGCAGATGTATCTTCTTAAACCATTTCTTTGAGTTGAGCTTGCATATATCAAAGAACATTTTATATCATAACACATAATGATTATTTCAAGTAATTTAAATATTTAATTAATCAAACGAACATGTTTTTCAATTGCTTTAGGTTCAACAAGCTTGTTATCTTTTTTACGAGTCTCAAAGAAAATAGTTGTCAAATCGGTGGAATGCCATCTTTATGACATTTACATCAAAGCCAAACATGTCAGATAACACAAACCTGGCAAAGATCTTTAAGCTCAAAAACATGAGAACACAATAGATTTTCAAAAAATACAATACATTTGAAAAAAGATCTTACTTGTTTCAACTTCTTGGGAGTATTTCTTTACTTTATTAGTAGATGTAGGAGATGAAGTACTAATTTGAACGTTCTCTTTCTCAAAAGTCATGAAGTTCTTATGTGTCACTCGTTTTCCTTGACTAGTGGACACGGTAGTGTTTTTAAGTCCTTGTTCCTGTTCCTTCCCTATAGAACCTGAAAAAAAATCATATTTTATACGTTGACTAATGTATCACAAGACAAGAAGAACCAAAAATGTCTACAGGGAGTTTCTAAAGCTAATTTTGATACACAAGTTCTCTTTTGTGAAAATTATGTATTCAGCGTCAGTTTCCTAAGCTGTTTTTTGGCCGGGTATTTACCTTCTTATCAATATAGTTTCCTACATCACGTATTATGACTATATTCTGCATCAAATAGAAAGCTGGAAAAAATTATTTTCCACACCTTCTTCTCCATGATAAAACAAATAATACAGAATCCTGGAAAAAATATTTTCCTATAACACAATTAAAACTTTTGCTTATGGTCTGAAATAAAAGAAAACAAAATATGTTACTTGTTTCAATTTCATTGATGTGCTTCCCAAATAGATCACTTGATTGAGGAAATATACTCTTAGATGGTAAATTTCATTTCTCATCCAAAGATTTAAGCCCTCGTCCTTGTCCCTTATCAATAGCACTAGGCGTGATAAACATATATTCGATAGCATTCTTCATATTAGAATCGACCTCATTTTCAATCCTCAATGGTTTCATCTTGAACCTGCAAAAAGAGCCAAAAAGTTAAAATTAAACTTAAAAATGTTTAATAATGTACTAAAAAGGAATTTTTGCCATCATAACATTTATGGATGAATATACTAAGTCATAAGAGATATTAATTAATCTCATTAGTTCTTTTTCTTTTCTTTTTGTAGAACTTTCTAATTCTACAATATCATCATCCATTTGTTCCACAATTTCATAGTAATCATGAGATTGGATCTTCCTCACCACTTGCCAACCTTTGTTGGAAGTATCATCGACATAAAATACTTGAGATGCTTGATCCACTAAAACAAATAGGTCATTTGTTTTTGAAAATCTACATGGATTAACACTCACAAAATCACACTCACTCTTTTTAACTTCTTTTATTTTATCATACACATCAGACTAATTACATCGAAATAAAGTTACTTTTTTATCCATGACAAATTGCAACTCAATTGCATCAGCTAAAACTCCATAGTAATCAAGGTTTTCACTATCTTCATCTTTCTCACCCAATACAACAATACCACAATTTTGAGTCCTTAAATTTTTATCATAATCATGATGCATAGAATATGGCAAGGGCATTTTCCAATGGATATGATTTGCCCAGAATCATAACACATACAAATCTGGTGCTGATACCAAAGAACAATGTGGTGGATAATTTTGGTGATTTAAGATTCATTAGCATGAATACTTTTGATAATTCAATAATATCGGTTGATATATGAAAGAGTTTAATTGGTGTTACCTAGTTTGATTTCTAATAACTAGTCAGGCATGTATGACTGAAAATGTAATTATGGCTCAAGAAATAATAAGGGACATAAATAAGAGAAACAATTTGCATATTGTAGTGGTAAAATCAGACATGACAAAGGCATATGATAGAGTCTATTGGAAACACTTTATCCAGGTCATGAGAAGATTAGATTCTCTAAAAGAATAAATTGACATAATAGTAAGGCTAATAAGCAATAATTAGAACTCAGTACTAATAAATGGAAAAGCCTTTGGCTTATTTCAATCTTCTAGAGGTTTGAAAGAGGGGGACTCCTTATCACCTACCCTATTTATAATAGCAATTGAAGTGTTGACCAGGATCCTAAATGAGGATGAGGATGATTGTGCTAAGAATATATGAGGGGGTAAAAATGTCTGGAAAAATGATATACATAGACAAAAGCATTTGTTATCGACATTATAAAGTTCTTGTAGTACCGTCATCAAATAAAGAGGACAACAGGGGTCAGGCAAGGTACTTATCCTTTTACATATCTAGATATTCCTATTTTCTATGAAGGAAAAATAAAGGTCATTTTGTAGTTCTGATTAAATAGGTGGCTAACATAATGGCTATGTGGAAGAATAGATTACTATCTTATGGGGGAAGGTAACTTTGTATTCACAAGAAAATGGTTAGTTACAATCCTCACATGTTATTGCAAACACAAACAAACCAGGGCTAAGGTTTTACCATTTGTCCTATGAAGTCAACCAATAAATCTATATCCCCCACCATATATTTTTTTTGCCAAAATGAAGAAGGCTAATGTACGTAATTCTAATCCTCTGGATGTTGCTGATTTTTCCTTCAAAACACCTTGCATTTATTTCTTTGCATACGGTCCACCAAATGCAGGTTGGAATTAGTTTCCACCAGTCTCCTCTAGAATTTCTTCTACCAATTGTCTCCTAGCCCCTCAGTAGATTAAAAGTGTATATAGTTATTGTCAGCTTACTCCAAGTTTACATAAATATATGTTCAACATATTTACAGTTGTTTTGCAATGTAGAAAGAGGTGGTTGTTTACCTCTACCTCCTTGTAACAAAGAAACCACCTTAAGCAAATTTGTGAACCCTCTTCTCTGTAGTGATTCGTGAGTTAGGCAAGCTCTCCTGATCACCAACCCCATAAAATAGGACACCTTAAAGAGGATTTTAATTTCTAAATTAGTTTCCAAGGGTAAATCCTAGTGGAGGAGAAGCTGATGTTTTTGTTCTAGTAGCGTAAAATTTGACAGAGAATACTCTTTTACTGTGCAACTTTCATAGAAGTTTACCTAGATTTACCGAGGCACCCGAAAAAAGGTCCAAGACGTAGAAGACTAGTGGTTTTGTCTACCTTCCAGTCATTTAAATATCTTCAATGAATTTCCACCCTTGTGGGCTCCATATCTAGTAAAAGTCTCATTTATCTTGAGACTGAGGTCGTAGAGATTTGGGAAGGTGGTCTTTATGCTTTCATTACCTATCTACTCTTCATTGAACAAAGATCTTCGTACCGTTCCTCAACTAATAGTAAATGTTTATATTGAATTTGGACCAGAGTCTTTGAATTATTTTCGATACACTGCATCCAAAAGTTCTTTCCACATCTTCCGTTGTCCATTAGTTTAGGAGTCCATATTTCTCTGTGATGAATCTCTTCCATAAGGTCATGTCTTATGTTCCAAATTTCCACGACCACTTTCTCAGTAAACAACGACTGTGGGGTTAAGTTTCTTGATGCCTAAACTTCGTTGTCTCGTGTTAAGATAAAGACATCCCACTTCACTAGATTGTAGCCTTTATTTTTTTGTTTCCATGCAACATGAACCTCCTTATTATATGATTTCTATTTTTGTCAATGCTCTTTGGGATGGAAAACAAATTCATCATATATGTGGGCAGTTAATCCATGAGTGATTTTATGTGTGTCAATCGGCCTCCCAAGAATAAATATTGGCCAAAAACTGCATATTTAGGAATTCATTGACTGGCTATAAGTAGATCTCATGCCAATTACATAGAGTCTTCAGATGCCTTCAAAAATTGTTAGAATAGCCTTGTTGTGTCTAATTTTTAACACGTCTTCTTCAAATAGTATAAGTGAGTCCATCGGCATACAGTAGGTCAGAATTTCTCATGTCATTTCCTCTACTTATATGAGCTCAAAAACCTGTCAACCAACCATTTTTAGTCATCAATAGTAAGAAAAGGAATGGTGAAAGGGGGTCACCCTGCCTAAGACCCCTCTTGATTGAGAGAAACCTACAACATCACCATATAACATTAGGGAGAAACTCACATATAATATGAAGAATCTAATTCAATTTAGCCATTTTCAACCAAATATCGTATCTTTAAGGATCTTAAGATAGTAGATCCAGTTGACATGATCAAAAACCTTGTCGCTTCACTCTTGCACCTACCAGTTCATTTGACACAAGTGATGCATCCATTATTTTTTTTCCCTTTCAAAAAGGTCATTGATTCTCGTCCACCAATTTTCCTATGATAAAATTAATTCTATGATTAAAAATTTTGAGATGAGCTTGTAAGTCCCTTCTATTAATATTATATGTCTGAGGCCTTTTAATTCTTTGGCGTTTGCCTTTTTTTGTAATTAAGGATATGAAGGTGGCAGTTATAAGTTTCTCAAACAATTCCTTCTTGTTGAATTTGTAGATGGTCTGCATCAAATCTACCTTCATAGTATCCCAGCAAACTTCAAAAAAACTCATGGTGAAACCATCAGAACTAGGAACTTTTTCCCCCATTACAACTCTTGATGATGTGTAGTACTTCTAATTCTCAGAAGGGTTCTGGTAGCTATTCATTCTCTTAATTAGTGATTCTGGGACAACCTTGTAAATTAATACTAGGCCTCCAAGGTTCAGCTTCTAAGTACAAATTTTTGGAGAAATCTATTATATCTTTTTTATCACTGTAGATTACCTAGTTTCTTCACCATTCACTATCAGTCTATCAATAGTGTTGAATCTGTTGTGTTGTTGCCATTCTTTGGAAGAAATTTGTGTTGTTCTCACCTTTTTTAGTCATAGTACTCTTGATTTCTTTTCCATATGGATTCATCTTGTCCAGCAAAATATTTTAGCTCAACTATGATTATTGCTACAATCATTATTTCTTCTTTGGTCAGGTTTCTACTTTCCTGAATTATGTCAATGACAACGAATTCTTCAAGTAAATTTTTCTTCTTACTGGTTAATTCTCCAAAAGCAGTTTTACTCCACTCTTTGAGCTTTACAATTTTTAATTTGTTATTGAACTTAAAGTCGGGACATCCCTCCACTAAAAGTCATTCCACTAGTTATTTAATTACCAACTTGCTGAAATCCTCTATATTAAGCCACTAATTTTTTAAATTGAAAATTGGTTTTCTTTTCTCCTAATTTACACATTCTAGCATGATGGTGTTGTGGTTTGAAGTAGCTCTACAAAAATCCTTTGTCTGATGTTTCTGAAAGTGTCTTCTTATTCTGAGAAGAAGAGAAACATGTCTAATATAGTATCACTAGGATGGTTGATCCCTCTAAAGAAAGTAAAATTATCTCCAATTAGATAGGGGGTCACGAAGTTTCATGTCCTCGATCCATCTACAAAACACATACATCACATTGGTGATTCTAATGCACCATCTTCTTTCTTACATCAATCAGTTTGTATTGAAATCTTCACAAGTTACCAAGAACCTTCAGAAAGTTGGCTACAAGCAGCGATTTCCTCCCATTATAATAATTTTTCACTTCTAATAGGTGGAGCATAGAGACCTGTGAGGTACCACGTAAAAGAGTTGTGAGAATGGACAAATTCAAAGGTGATAGAGTGTTGCCTTATTTCCACAATTATCCTTGACCAAATATTTTTGTACCACATTATTACGACCACCCTTGCTTCCCACAACTTTGATGAAATGACATTTCATCCATCTACAAGGCCATAGTTGGTTGGCTGCTTCATCCCTCTTGACCTAACTTTGTTTCTTGGAATCAATAGACATCAGAAGCCCCCCATTGCAATAAACTATTAAAATGATTCCTATTTTTATATTGTTCAGTCTTATCACAATCCATGAAATTAGGTTTACATTCATTTGTAAGTGAGATTGAGAGTTTTCCCCCTATTTCTTACCCCTTCAACTTGGTTGAGACTGGATTGCAAATTCTTCAATTCATTCTTGGAGAGTCTCTTACTTTTTAGGGTGGTGATTATCTTCTCCTACTCTTTCTTTATTAGCATCGCTTTTCTTTTATCTAGCTATATGAAGATGGCTAGTGTTTCCTCTTCTAAACCTTCAAAAGCTTTTCCATAAGTATTGCTTAGTTTAAGAATGTGAGAATTCACACCGTCTAGAGCCTGTATCTCAGCGTACTCTAGGGATGCAGGAGACTGGGTGGTAACCAATTGAAGTCGTGCACAGGCTATAGTTGCAAGTTGCACTTATTTGAGATGGGACATAAATGGTTGTACCCTCTTATATTTCTTTGGGATGGTCATTAATCTCAGTCTCTTCACCAATATGAGGGGTAATTAAAAGTTTCATGGTCAAGGTTCCTTTCAATGTCAATTTAATAGATTTCTCTATATCTCGTAGATCTACAAAGCAAGATTCCAAAGTCATATATATGATTCTAGGAATTTTGAGGCCACAACTCAATAGTTTTCCAGTTAATTAAGAGTGTTAGGAGAACTCTTCATCAGAAATTGAGTTATGGTTGGGCTAAAGATTTCAGAAATAAAATTTGGGTCTGATTTAATTGGGCCTCTAGAACTAAATTTAACCCAGCCCGAAGGATTTAAATTTTCTGGGGAAGTTGTCCTATGTAGCTCAGCATTAGCATGTGTTATCATTGTCAAATGTGACTCAAATTGGCATGTGTTGTCACTATCCCATGCTCAGCATTGACATGTGCTATCATTGTTGAGTGTGTAGGTGGTAGACGTCCAATATTTGTCTCTACTGGGTAAAAGTTCAATGACTATTAGGTAATGGCCTTTGATAGTTTTCATAGATGAAGCTCATTCCAGATATGCATAGAGAAGGTAATCCACCAATTTGTATGGAGATCTCCTTCAGCACCTTACTCCCGATTCATTGGATTTTGATTCTCATCCATTTTAGTTGGCTCTAGATGGAAAAATCTTTATTTGTTTTAATACATCCTCCACAATGGTCTCGGATGACCTTGAAGGTTTTATGGGCCCATAGGTGAAAAAGGATCCCCACGATCCTAATCTAAGTGGAACTTGGTTTTTCTGTTGAGTTGGAAGTACCCGACAATGGGTTCCACCATTGAAGCTTGAGTTGTATTTTGTTCAATAAACAATTTCTAGAAAGTATTTTCACTATCATAATACTAGAGTCAAACACGAAAAGAAATAGGCCCCTTCCGGTTTTGTATATGTTGAGGCCGTGCACCTGTTTCCATAGGTTGGTTGCCCATATCTGTATTTGTGACAATGTTGGTGAGAGATTTGACCCATCTTCGTATTACCAACCAAACTCTTGCTTAATACTTCATTTTTTATGAGAGACCATTAATGTAGATGACATTCCCCCTCTTTAGTGCTTGAATGTTCGTTAAATTAGTTTCTTCCTTCTTGAACCATTTACTATTTTTAAGTACTTCAGCAAAAGAAAAGTTTGTTGTCGGTTAAACAGTGGTTGTCTCTGCTGGTCTCCTTCTTTTGTTTGGCATAAAATTCCTCATTTTCTCAGCAATTAAGGTCCAACCAGAGTTGAAAATCAGTTCAAGCATGATGGGCTGACCTTCTCTTGCCCCTTAATTTAATAAGACTGATGTATCTGTTAGAATTATTGAAGTTCCTAGCAAAGAAGATTTCTGACGGTGTTTTTTTCTTATTCAACCTTTTGACTACATTCTCATTCGTCTAAGAAGCTTCAAAGAGATTCTAGATAACCCAATGCATTATCTTCCTAGCAAAAGATGTTCTAATGACGTTGTATCTATATCTTTCGGTCCAATCATTAAATTTTCCTAACTATGTGCAGTCAAAAGACTTGAATCCAACTACAAAATAGATAGAGTCCTCCATCTCAGTGGGGGAGGAGAAGGGGGGATGAGAAGAGGAGAGAGGGAATTTGGTGATCAAAAGGATCATCGGGAGAGGGTAAGAGGGTTTTTTCGAATGAATGTAGCGTCTTTTTGGGATTCCTGTCTTGGAGCAAGAAGAGTTCTTAATCCCAATATAATTCATGTTAAACGTCTTTTAATGTTTAATCAACATCACAAACTATGTGGACGAAGTAGGAGATAAGAAACGAATATGTTTATATTTGGAACAAGTGGGTTCCTTTTAAGGTGATTTTTTCCTATGGAGGTTGTGGAAAAGGAGAATTTCTACCGATGATAATTTTTAAAAGGTGAAGAATCATCTAGTTTCAATATGTTGGCGTTGCGATGAAAAAAGGAAGGAAACACTAACCCATATTTTTCTAAAATCCTCCTTGGATAAAAAGCTATGGAGAAAAATTTGCTAATTTCGCAGATATACACATAAAAGGAATGCATTTACAACAATTAATCATTACTTGGTGGAAATTTGAATCATCACCACAACTACAATGAGTAATGAGAGCAATGCCAACAATAAATATGTGGACAATATGGAAGAGAAGAAAGAGTATAAAGCATGGACGAAACACAACTTTTGGAGGGATGGTGATTCAAGTTCAAGAAATGGTTTGGATGTTGGTGAAAACTCTATATCCTTGGATACATTTGGAGTCAAGCTTGTGACTTGAAATTGTAAAAAAACTAAAGTGGCACAAGCCAAAATTGCATTATCATAGTGTAATATTGAAACCCTTAAATACAAATAGATTTGAACGCAACATTGAGGGAGAATCCAAAGGGAACCCAGGGCTGTGTGTATAGGTCTTTTGTCAAAGGAACTCACAAAGAAATGTGATCAAGGCAAGGGATGCAGAAAATGGAAATAACACAGAGATATAGTAAGTGGCAATCTATGAAGCATTGGAGTATTGTTGGGAGAACAAGGTGATGGAAGTAAAAATCAAAATAGACTCACTAAGTCTGATGAAAATGATAAGAGGGCAATGGAAAATACTTTATGAGCTGGCGGAAAGAACAGATAATAAAGGATGAGATCACAACAACTCAATGCAAACATCACTCATATATTCAGAGAAGGTAATAATGTTACAGACTTATTGGCTTATTAAGTAGTGGAAACAGAACAAAGAAAAGAGTACAACAGTTTAGCTGATTTACCAAGCAATATCAAGACAAATATAAATATAGAGAAAAAATAAATATCAATATTGAGAATCAGATCAAGAATAATCGATTTTCAGCAATGAACATACCAAAAGCATATCTTCATATGAAAGGAAAGCAGCCTACTGTAGATATTGACAGATCTAAATAGAATAATATAATAATATAATATATAATCATAGTGTAAAAGGGTACAAGCCAAGACATAAATCTATATTTTACCCTAACTACCACAAAGTTACATCAAATAAAAACAGAGACAAGTGGATCGGACATTACCAATGGAGCTTTAGAATGTTTCAAGGGAAAGATACATCACGAGATCTACATCTGAGAAAAAGCACAAAAGAAAGGGATATTATTCAAAGATCATGCGGGTAGATGCGAAGAAGAAAATGAGGTAGAAAGGAAGCGAACTTACCAGGTACAATGAACACCACTCGAGCTCAAAAATGATTCAAAGGAGGAGGCAGAACAACTAGAATTTTCTGCGACAATGCAGTGGAGAAAGTGGATGAAAGAGTATTGTGTACTCACCAAGGATGAGTAGAGATTGGAAAAAATTAGGTATTCTGTATTTTCGTTATTATTGGGCCATGGGCTTTTTTATATGTATGGACCACAATTTATTCAATAAAAGGCTCCAAGCAAAAAATTTATTTAAAAGAACTTGTATTATAGCGCTAGAAGTACCCATATATAAGCAACACCACATCAAACCTTTGGAGTTTGGCCACACTCAAAGACGTTATCTTCAAATTAAATTATAGTTATACACGAAGAGTCACGAATAAGAAATTGATGCCACAACAAAAAAACTTATTCCTTTCAAAAAAAAAATTCTATGCAGTTCTTCAATTGGTAGTACCTAATTTCTCAGAGTAGTTAATTCCTAAATAATATTTTTATTACTTTCATAGATTATATAGGAGTCGATAGCCAAAATGCAAAAAAACAAAAAATTGTCAAAAATTTCAAAAGGACACATCAATTTTTTTTATAAAAAAATCAATACAGAAAAATCGCTTTGATGAAATAATTTTCCTCTGGAACAATAGTGAAGTCGTTACTCCATTAAAATTAACAATCATTGCCTAGCAACAATTGTACCCAAAAATTGTTTTTTTTTTTCCCTTATATCGTTGTAGGGGCAACATTTTTCTCAAAAAATAAAAGCTACAATTATAATATAAAAAATATTTTTTCTTAAAAATACTTCCCAAGTAGCGACTTCAATAATAAAAAAAAACCTATTTTACTATAAATTTTTTATATTAAAAGAAAATCAATGCCTTCGCAGTGATTTTATAAATAATTTTAAATAAATCGCTGACAAGGCAGAAAAAAATTCTCTCTTTTCCTAAAGAAATACGCTTTTTCACTTATGTATATTGGAATTGGTTAATTGATCAGTTAATTAATTCATTTAGTTAGTAAAGATAATTAAATTCATTTTAATCTGGTTAAATAGTTTGTTAGATTTTCATATAGTTAATTAAAGTTGTCAGATCAATAGGATCTAGAAGTTGTACATATATAAATGTAATATAGCTTATGTACGAGTAATTGTGATGATAAGGTTTCAATTTTCACATAAATCTCCCTAGTAAAATCTACATGGTATCAGATCTCTAAACTGTGAATCAGTTTAATACAATAATCGATTAGCCAGAGAGATAGGAGATGTTAAAGCTTCCACCATTGATTCATCACAAATATTTACAGTTGAAACAATCGATGATGTTGATCGAAATAAAATCCATCCACTTCATCTTCATTATTCACACTCCTCCTAGCCCAAACTTTACACCCTCCAACTCGATCCAAACTCAGTACTCAACAACTATCCAACATCACCTTTCAACTTAAAAAAAATGATCCATGCGTCTTCATCTTCTTCTCCATATACCCAACAAATCAAAGACCCCCAAATCTTTATCCAGTTCAAAACCCAGCAATCACAAGCACGGTAAAAAAAAATCCGACCCAACAATTTCGTTTTCCCTTCGTCCTCTCACAATTCTTCATAGTGTCGAAATTTGGTGCGTGTAGTCACTTAAAATTTATTAAATATAAATTTTTAAAGTTGTTCTGATTATATTAAATTAATGAATATATTAGTCCAAATAAATATTATGGATTAATATAATTGATTTAATTATTTAAATTCAGATACATATGAATTTAATTAAAGCCTACTACATAAAGCCCATATGATATTTCACTTATATATGATTGGCCGAAGGGAGTCCTGTTCCAACCGCAACACCTCTATTCTAAAACTATAAATAGGGGTCTCATAATTCAGAAAAAGAAAAGAAAAAAATTTATAAACAAGAAGATAGAGAAAATCCATGGCACAAACGCCATTTAATTCTCTACAAAGCTACAAGTTTAAGAATTCAAGCATTCAAGTTCAAGAACAATCAAGATCAAGGCCATCGAATTCAAGAACAAGCTCGAAGCCCTTGAATTCAAAAAAAAAGTCAAGATCAAGATAATGTTCAAGTTCAAGTTCATTAGAGATTCAAGAACAAGCTTTAAAACCCTTTAATTTATATTTGAAAAGGTGAATTCAGAGGAATCATAGAGATTTTAATACTCACATTTGAAATAATAAAATCGATTGTTGCTATAATCTTCCGTTCTTGATTTTTTTTTCTCGACACAAATTTTATTGTCTACAAATTCTGCACGCTTAGTGGGACAATCTCTAACTCTTTTCTCAACTCTTCAAGAATCAAAGAGTATTAAAATGTCTTTCACTAATGAAGAACAACTAGCAATCTTAACTAAAGCAATTGAAGACCTGACAAAGTGTGCACACAAACAAGATGCTAAATTTTCAAACCTAACAAATAAGATGGATAAAATGATTGAAAGAAGATCAAGTCAATCACCTTTGAAGCTTTCTAAAATTAAACACAAAGAAGTGTCTTGCTTAAAGAAAAATTCATATCTCATATGAAGGTTTGATTCCAATTGATTAGTTAAAGAACTTTATCATAGAGATAATCGAAGACAAATCTGAGTCTTCATCCAAATTTTATCCTCTATATGTAAATCCATATACACAAAGGGTTGATAACTTGAAAATGTTTGAGGTTTATCAACCTTCCATGTTTCAACAATTTGATGGCAATGCAACTCCTAAACAACATATATATCTCACTTTATCGAGACTTGCAATGTTGCAGGGACGTATGATGATTATCTTGTTAAAGAGTTTGTTCTATCTCACAGAGAAAATGCATTTGATTGGTACATAGATCTTGAACGTAATTCTATAGATAGTTGGGAGCGATTAGACCAATAGTTACTTAATCATTTTTGTAGCACAAGACGTGTCATTAGTATGATGGAACATACAAAGGCTCGTCAAGGTGAAGATGAGTTAGTCATTGACTTTATCAATCATCGGAGAAGTCTGAGCCTCAACTACAAAGATCGCCTTAGGGAAATTTCTACCAATGAATTGGGGTCTTCACTACATTTTTCAAGGATTAAAGACCAATACATTTGAAGAGTTGCCAACTCGTGCACACCACATGGACTTAAGTATGTACTTAAGAGAAGATTAACAATCTCCTATCTATGGACCTCATGAAGATGAAGATATATAAGAAATCCAGAGTGGGGGCGAGTCTGCATCCAAAGATGACAATCTCCTTAACGCATGAGCATAAACTTCAAGTTACAATGATCCTTAATGCAGGAGCTTAAACTGCAAGTTACAATGCTTCTTGAAACACGAGCTTAAACTATATATCACTTCAATCTTCAAGTAAGAGTTAAATCTTCAATTTGAAATGCACCTTGAAACATGATCTTACACTGTATGTCACTTAAATCTTCTAGTTGAAATGATCCTTGAAACACGAGCTTCAATTTTATGTCACTTAAAACTTCAAGTTGAAATGCTCCTTGAAACACGAGTTTAAATTTCAAGTTAAATTTAAATATTCAAGTTAAAGTTAAATCTACAAGTTAAAGTTAAATCTTCAAGTTGAAATGCTCCTTAAAACACGAGCTTAAACTGTGTGTCACTTAAATCTTTAAGTTTGAGTCACATCTTTAAGTTGAATGCTCATTGAAACATGAGCTTAAATTGTATATCACTTAAATCTTCAAGTTTTAGTTCAATCTTCAAGTTGAAATACTCCTAGAAACACGAGCTTAAACTGTATGTCACTTACATCTTCAAGTTAGGGTTAAATCTTCAAGTTGAAATGCTCCTAGAAACACGAGCTTCAATTGTGTGTCACATAATTTTAAAGTTTGAGTTACATTTTCATGTTGAAATGCTCCGTCAAACACGAATTTAAACTATATGTCCCTTAAATCTTCAAGTTTGAGTTAAATCTTCAAGTTGAAATGCTCCTTGAGACACGAGTCCAAACTGTATATCATAAATCTCTTTAAATTTAAGCTAAATCTTAAATATAAAATGTTCCTCAAGGTACGAGCCTAAGTTTCATGACACTCATGGCCCACAAAGGTATAAACTATGTACGACACAACTAATAGTCACTCACTCCTCCAGAACTACGTTGTGACTTGATCTTCTTTATTTAGGTACTTAAGCACTTAGAATATGCACTTAGAACCATATTCTAAGTTCAGTTGCATAAGTGTCAAAATCAAATGTTTCCGCTTGATCTGTTACATGAGATAAAGCTATGAGTAAGCTTTCATAAAACCTGAGACTTGCACCAAATGGTGGTGACTCAATGGGGGCAAACCTTTATCAATAAAATTGCTTCAAGATGATGTTTATAAATCTCCAAGTATGAAAGTAGAAGTCTTCAAATTCTTCAAGCCTAGTTTTTGAAAGATAATATATCTGGAAAAGACTTGAAGAAGGGGGAATTTGTAGTCTTGCTCCACCCGAGTTCGAACCTAGGTGGGGGCAATGATTTAATGTGATTTTTTTAATTGGTGAATTATTTTAATAAATTAATTAATTAATGGTTGATTTAAAAAGGAAACATCATATTTTTTTATTAATTATTATTAATAAATTAATTAATGTGTTTTTATGACTAATTCTCCTAGTTGACTAACTCTAAACAACTTTACCTCCTTTAACTCTCTCTCACGCTCATCTCTCTCACATTTTCTCGACTCTTTTCATGATTTCTCTCTGCCTAAACGATTACAAAAACAGAAAAATTACTAGAGTTCTTCACACTTGAAGAACTCACACTAAAATATAAGAAAACAAGCTAGTGAACACGTTAGTTAAAGAGGGGTTTTCCCATTGAATGTTTTGTGTTGAAAACTTTGATTGGACTTTCGTTTTGGAGAGGATTTGGAGAAGCAACTTCAAGGTTTGAACGTCAAAATAATTTATGGGTTTTCTTCTTTCTTTGTCCCTTTCCCAAAAGACCCCCTTAAGGTTTATATTATTTATTCGAAAACTAGGATTGTTTCCCCTTTTGCATGCCCTTGTCACTAGCTCCCAATGAATCGTAGGTTGGGTATGATTGCTAGTAGATTTAGGTGCATGCTATGTTTTCATTATGAATATGATTACGTTGTGTAGTTGAAATTGTATGATAGAGAACCATGTATCCGAAAGTTTCTGTAAGTGTATGCACGTGCAAAAATGTTATTGTGAATGTATTGTTAATTAGGCTGAGTTAAGACTTCAAGTTTAATATTGTTTTGGTTGTCATTTTACGTACATTAATCTATGTAAATGGTGATGTTCGTTAAAATGGAAATCAGGCTGATTTGAGTGTCAACATTTTGGCTAAACAAATCCATGAAATACCCCCCCCCCCCAAAATGTGTTAAAAGATCCCTGAATTTTCCAAAGTTTTCAAGTGGATATAATGATGAAAATCAGTAAAGAAAATGATTAAGTTTCCAGCCAAAAATTTAAGTTTAGTTTAGGCTAAAATATAGAGAAGAAATATGGAATATTTAATTGATTTTAAAAGGATGAGGCCAGGATTCGAACCTGTGACCTCACCCGTTTGGTACATTAAATTCTCAATAAAAGAAAAGGGGTCAGGGGGGTTCGAAATGGGGTGTACTGGCTGAGA